GAGCTCTCTTTTCGCCTTCCCACCCCATTATTTCCGGATGATACTCTGACATCCTCCGCCAAATCCACCGAGCACAAACGATCTGTCCGTGATGGAACGCCCCCGAATACTGCACACCTTGTACTCCGCGAAGAGAAGGCGACCGTCCAAGTTAGGTTTATCAGACATCTGCCAATAATACATCGTGAACAGCCAAACTGGCAGAAAGCGTTGTGCCGTCGCACTTCTCGGATCCATCCAACTTATGTCTGTCTCCGACTGCCTTCTGGAAGCCCAACGTCAGCCACCGTGAACCCACGGTTTGGCATGCTCGGTCTTCCCCACCTGGTTAGCCAGGTCTGCATAATGATACATTCTGTTGCGTGCGCTGGGCTGACTCTGCATATTGATACACTGTAGTGCGCCGTCCTTGGCATGTATCTGGAGCTGCGTCCTGCCTGTCGCAACTGCAGCCGGGGAATGCATACGTGATATTCTCACCAACATTTCTTGGCTATCATCGATCCGCGTCCTTGTCGGAGCAACGTCAGAACTCTGTCTGGCCTTGTTCCGTTTTTTTACTGACCAGTTCGCCGTCTGGTCATATTCCTGCACGAGACCCTTCTTCTGTACTTGCCATTGACTGAAGTGTATTGGAGGTAAGCTCGATTTCTAGCTTCCCTCTGATAATCACCATCATGCATCCATGTCTTGTCAATTAGCTGAAATATGACAGGAAGTGATCTCGGGACACAATTGTGGAACATAATTGGTGTCTTTTCTGACGTCGGAACGGGGTGCTCCCTCTACCAGTGGTCGTCCTTGACTCTTTGTCCTCCTTTCGATTATCGGATCAGCGAATATCCCCGAAAGTTGAATTTTCCATTTTTATTGTTCTCCATTCCCAATGCAGAACATGGTCCCTTCCCTTTCAGTTCGATAACACACCCGACTAGCCACCGACCTCGAGTCCTCACTGCTCCCGCTGCTTCTAGAATCCTACAGTTCCAAATTTTTGTCCAAACTCCCGTCGGCCAATTATGTTCAACCCTTCTGACAGAAACTGAGACTGCGACGTCTGGGGCACTCCTGTTGAACATCCGCCTTGTCCAACTTGTTTCTCTTATTCTCCGAGTCCCCATCTATCTTATCCATCTCCGCCCACTATCTGCGCCAACAGATCATTATGAAATGTGATCGATCACTCATCGCGGCATCGACTCGGAACACAGATGTCTCACACTCGCGTTGATTGTCAGGACGGAACAAGATCTCGGGATTATATATGGCCACCTCACCACTGATGCATTCCATAAGCTCGTGTCCGCATGCGTGTATGCGATGTCACCTTTTCCTTCCTTGTTTATACGTGTGGCGAACGGGCCATTTCCCCGGCTGATTTTGCTTCCACGACCTGTCGCCCTACAAGCGCCGCCGGACGCCGCTCTGATAAGCCTCGGGTACCAGAGGTCCAGCTAGCTCAGCTTTCTCGCGTCTGCTGTATTCACTTGGGCCGCTTTTGCTCCACCAAAGTCTTCTAAACGTGGTCAGGAAGATGCCGCTTTAAGCATATTCCACATCATGGCCTGGCCCCGTGGTGGACCTCGGTGCGCCGATCTTGCTTCTCGTTTGGGACATCGGAGCCGGACATCGTCCCATCTGGATCTCGGAACACACACAATCACTCTTCTCTGTCATGCCCTCACTGCATCCTTCAATTTTAACTACTCCACGGAGGCAAAATAGAACCCGCTTTTCAACCACTCCACGGGCACGCACCGAGGGCTGGCGTGCCTTAGTTGCAAATTACTTCATAGGCCAAGGCACCACCGAGTGCGCGTCCTCGCATTCGCGGGACCCGCAATAAATTACGCCCTCCCGTGATCGTCGGGTGAAATGGATTTTACCTCCTTCTGATTGGCGGGGATGCTAATCGCCCATCAGCCGCGATACATGTGGTCCGATCCTTCACGGGGTCCAAAGCTTGCTTCAGCTTGAAGTTGGGTGCTATCGACCTGTCCAGAGCTGTCCAAAACACACACGCCCATTGACGCGAACACCTCTTCCGGAATCTCCCGGGCCGCAACGCCTACTCGGCTGGCGCTTCAACTTGGCTGCAACTACTCAACTTAAGCGCGGCGACGGGGACCGGAAAATTTCTATAGCATATCACTGCATGCATTTATCTTTAATCTATCATCTGGCGTCTACCTGTTTCTGCTTGTATCTGGACCCGGAACCTCTAGTCCCAGCAGAGCCAAACTGCCGTCGCCCACTCGCCGCTACCAGCTTGACTTTTACCCGCTGGCAGATAGTGACACACAAAAATAGCAGTCCGATCTGAAGACGGTGAGGAATCGCCTGATTTGGACGCAGGCGTTATTATTGCGCGGATTGCGATCGTCGGGGCTGTGCGCGGGGAGGTTGTGTTGGGGAAGATACCAACAGGCTATCGCCGACCGCTACAAAACCATATTGAATCTGGCTTGCATTAGCGACGATCAGGGCCACCCTGTAGTGGTTAACGTAGGCTCACGTTACCGGTGTCTTCAAAGTACAACGTGCGCTGCCGGCATAGCTAGCTCGCGTCAGGTTTATTTCCGGCGCTTTGAAAATCCCGCCTCGATAACGTTAACTGTGTCTGTTTCAAGCTGACGCGCCCTCGTTATTGTACTCAACAAAGACTCTTTTGTTTTGTCTCTCGCCGTTTCAACCTGACGCTGCGCCCCTCTGCACATGGACTGGACTCTGCGCTTTGGGGATTTTCTGCTACGTCTTGGGATATGCGCGAGATCGACACGAACGGCATTCTTTTTTTGGCCTGGTTATGAACATTAATTCCGCTGCTGCTAATGAGTTTCAACCTGACACGGCTCAAGCCCTGGGGGTCCTCCTCCTGAATCTCGACTAGCACCATCTATTCCCGAGGCAATATTCCGTCGTCTCGTAAGTTCGGGCTGCTACGATCTCCGGACTTCCAACTCACAGTTGCGAACCCGGAGCTGGCTCATCAACATCTACTCCCGATTCCCACCTTCTATTCAACCACACTCCTTTCCGGGCGACAAGAATCATCAAGTCTATTGAGTTGCTTTTGAAGCATCCCTTCTCCATCCCGGAACTCTCCCTGGCTTCGCTATCCGCTTCTGCGCCTTTCTGTTGCTAGCCATCGCACGGGATCAGCGGTGGAAGTCACGATTAAGTATCAGTCCATGCGGCTCTCCTATTTTCAATCTGGCGACCGAGGGATGGTTCTCCGCCCGGTATTCGTATCAGACGGGTATCCGCCGCCATAGTCGTCGTCGTCGTCGGTGTCGGAGTCAGTATGACTCTGCTTTGACGTCACTTCCTGAAACCAATTGTCTCCGGAGCAGGGTCGGCTAGAACTTAGTTGTTATCTGCGCTGAGGGTCGACGGATACGCATTTTCGGCGCGAGCCGTTGGCTTCTCAAGTTCTCCGCTGTTTTGGTGCCTCTGTGAGCGGTACACCCCGGGTATTTCTCCTTCCTGTGCGCTCGTGTTTCCCCTTGTGGAATTTCGGCGGAGGTGGAGATCGAAAACTAGTCTTCCTCGCCTCCGTGCTAGGGTCTTTTCTCTCAAGGTGCCTTCATCGCTAGCCTTCTCGCTCTGGGACGAGATTTTGTCTTCGCCGACGTGTGCGGACTGTGAACATCTCGCGAACAAGTTCCTGGTATCCTGTATCCATCTCTAGCTCCGATCGTGCGCTAATATTACAATACTTCCGTTCAAAATCTAAGGGGCATGCGGTTGAGACTCTACGAGGAGATAATTCAATGCTCGAAGCCTCGCCCGAAATATTCAACCGCCCCGCTGTCTAGGTCCCCTCTCGAGTCTTGATTCTCCTACTGGTGATCACTGCGCAGACCGCTCGCAATTCAACCATCCCCGGGGGCAATGCATAACTCGGCGATCCCCTAACCCGGCGATCGCGATACTATTAATGTTTAATCCACTCCGACGATCACTTACTTGCACTTCGAATCACCGAAGGGAACAGCCACGGCTTCCTTATCTAATTCTTTCTTAGCTTCGCGCGCCGTGTGATGGCGGCGTACTTATACTTGGCAGCTCGAAATAAACTCTCATTCCTGCGCGTGCCGGTGCCACGAGAGCCACATACACTGCGAGCGCGACTCAAGTCCCTTGTGCCAATCACCTCTGGGAGTGGGAAGGAAATAGGGCATCACGAATCTACATCTACATCTGCATCTGCATCTGCCACCGCGGCCATCGGATCCAGCCACTGCGTTTGTGTCTGGCAGACGGCGTGGGACGAGGGAAGATTTAAGCATTCGTTTGTTCGTTCGTTCGAAAGCCACGTACCACACGTCGCCCGCGATGAGTTCACGGTTCGAAAGGCAGGTATCACATACCAAGTCATCGCCTCGGATCGCATTCGCCTCAACGCCAGTACCAGCAATACCAACTCGTTTTCTCTTGCGGACTTGGAACGCTAGTACTTACATATAATTATCACCCACCGCAGGCGAACGTGAACGGCGTGCGAGTCGGGACGCTCGGATCCCTCCGAGGCTCGAGAGAAACCCGGGGTAGCCGACTCCCGACGGTACAGCTATAGAACGCCACCTCCCATAGAGTCGTTCTGTGAGTTCTTCTGTCCTCGCGCTTGCTGTCTCGGGCGAGCGGCGAGGCGTGCGCAAACCTAAGTACTTCTACACGTTACTTTTGTTTTTCTATCAAAGAAATTTCTGACTTGACATTTAACCACGTCGTGTCGTCCCTGGATTTGTAAGTTATTCTTTGATTCCACCTTGAACTTCCAAGTTGTCTTCCATCTCTGGGAAGCTGTCAGCGAGCCTGACGTTCCTACTTCTTTCAAGTTGAAATTCGACTCCAATCATATTTAGCTTGAAGTTCTCGATTGAATCCTGGACTCGTATTCAACTTGACCGATATTCAGTTTGCTCCGCTCCTGCATAATAAAAGTCATCATATCTAGAAGTTGGAAGAAAAAAGAAAAAAGAAAAGAAAGAAAAGAATGACCACCGCAGGGGTCGAACCTGCAATCTCCTGATTCCAATTGCGTAAGCTCAAATTCTCACAAATCGTAGTCAGACGCGATGCCATTTCGCCAGGCGGCCATTGTGTAAAGGTAGAGCGTGATGATCTAATAGGGAAGTATAAATCAGCGGAGATTCCTCAAGTTTGGTTTCGAACTTCGAATGGCCAATTCAAACCTCTTTCAAAAAAATCCCGGGTCCCGGGTGCCGTGTCAAACAAATTTCGAGGCATGGTAACCTGACCGAGCCAAAGTGCTGTGCGGGGCCCAGCCCGCCAAGCCATGATAGATTATTATTAGATACTAACGAAAAAGTTTAAACCCGTCGGCATGACAGAATCCAACCGACGCGGCATGACAGAACGCACCCGACGTCGGGCTTGCGTCGGGCAATCCCGAGTTTTCCCTGAGTCTTCCCCCACCCACCGCCAACTCCGACTCCGGCTCCCCAGTCGGACGAGCTCTGATTCTGACTTCGGTTGACTCAACGGCGATCTCAGCCACTGACTGCCATGACTCACCATTCATGTCTCGTATGGACATTCGACTTCCTGTTTCGGCTGGACGGCTGGTATGTACATAATGTACTGTATACAATGTCGCCGGCTGATCCTCAGACACTGCCAGGCGGCGATCAACCCGCGGCGCCTAAATTTTATTGCTTTTTTTTTGGGAGCGTTTGGGATAATGAAAACTATTCTAATGAAACATAGTCTGCAGAAGCATTCCAAGCTTATCCGCTTGTGCTGCTGGTTTTGATCCAGTCGTAGCCGGGGAAGGTTGCTCGGGAGAGGAAATGCCGTTACGCACAATTTAAACCAGTGCGGGCTCCGACCCAACTAAATTTTTGTATCTCACCACCCAGGGACGAGACCAGACCTGCAACTGTTGCCCGGTCAACGAACGAGTCAGTTTTTGCTAGGTTCACAATTTACCTGAAGAAAAATTTAAAACTCGACCCTGTGGCACAGTGTAAAGAGGTTTAAGTAAAAAACTAATTGAATACTCATTATGTAACCAAGGCCTAGGCCTCGGCCCGAAACCCCTTCAGTTAAATTCTTTACTTCCGCGGCTTTTCCCTTAATTTTTTTAAAAAGAGGTGCGGGCAGTCGGGCGAGTCGAAGGGACGGACGCATGTGCTATCTCCCTCAGCTAAGGCGTTGCTACCTTAGCTAAAGGTGCGGAACGTCGGCCGCGCGCGTCCTCGGACGCAGTGGGAAAAGTTAATTTAGGGCCGGATCGGGCGCCGCCTTGGATGCGATGGACGTGGTGGGTGTAACTTGGGTGTACGACGTCGGTGTGTTGGTGTGGGACGGTGTTCAATTGTAGGCCCGCGAGCGCATGGTTCGAATTCTATCATCAAAGTACAATTTAGGGCCGGATCAGGCGCCATCTTGGGCACAATGGACGGGGCGGAACGTTACTTCAAGCTGTAGGACCGTGAGATCTTCAATTGTAGTCCCTCGTAGACAGATGAAGCCCATACATACCCGCGCTTCAAGTGTAGGCCCGCGCCCAGGATCCGGAGCGCACTGACATGTGCGCGCGAATCGCCGACAAGTCCCCGCCTTGAACGTCACTACTTACATCTAATCTAAATCTGGGGGAGTACATGTAGGGTGGTCCGGAGGTCCCCAGTGCCCACGACCACCTACCGCTGCTCTACACAGCGTCCAACGTCGCTTAAGCTTTAGAGTTTACAGTGCACGACGTCAGTACGTCCCATCTGAATCTGGTGGAGTACATGTAGGGTGGTCCGGCAGTCCCCAGTCCCTATTTCTCAGCCCATAGCCACCTACCGCCGCTCTACATAGATCTCAGAGTCTCTGTGAAACGTCGCGACGTTAGAGTTTACAGCTACCGCCTCGAGCGACATCAGTACATACATCTGCAATCTCGTGGAGTGGGAGTGCGACGCGCCCAGTTCAGCCCCCAGCCCACCTACCCCCGCTCTACATATCGTCCAACGTCGCTTTGCGGGTTTCACGCCCCTTCGCTGTCGAGGAGGCCCAGGCGCAGCCCAATTTTTTCTCCAAGCCGGAGCTGAAGTCCCATGGCCACTCCACAGCATTCCCCAGCCCCGCGTCGCAGAGATCTCGAGCCCAACGCCACTGTAGAGTTCACAGCAAGCTCGCTGTCGGAACTCGTCATTCGCACCAAGGCTTCCTCCGAGTCCGGGCCATGGCGTAGGAGGGTGGAGTGTGCGCACCCGCCGACAAGACAAGTCCCCAGTGCCCACCTACCGCCGCCTTACACAGAGCCCACCGTCGCTTTAGAGTTCAACGCAGCTTTCGCCGTCGAAACTCGTCATTCGCACCAAGCCTCCCTCCGGGTCTTCTTATGACGCGTGAAAACGAGACGAGTCTCGAGATTCAAGTTCTTCGTTCTCGCTGTCGAAAGCGGAGCAAGAGGCCCAGGCCTGGGCGCGCATTCCAATTTTTTGTTTTAATTTTTTTCTCCAAGTCCAAGTCCAAGTCCCATTCATTTTCTCTCTCCAAGTCCAAGTCCCACTCCAAAGCACTTTGCAAAAATAAGGTCTTGTTTCGATTCGTTCTTCTGCGCTAAACAGCTAGCTCCCTCCATACAAGTCCAAGTCTTATCCACACCAATCTTTGCAAAAAAATTCTTGTTTCGATTCGTTCGTTTTGAGGCAGCGACCCTACATACACAGACACACAGCATACATACAGCACATACAGCGCGCTCCCTCCTCCGGTGTATGCCACACGCGCGGAGGGCGCAGCGGAAAATTATACCCGACACTACTCTATCCAAGAAAGAAACGCCCGAGCCCGGCGCGTGCGAGCAGGCTCAGCGGACGCGGCGGGCCCGTCGGCGAGAGCGGGCGAGGCAGCGTGCGAGCGGGGCCCAGCGGACGCGCCATAAGTAAAAAGATACGTAAAAAAGAGAGAAGAGAAGAGAGGAAGGGAGGAAAGGAAGAGTCCGATCCGTAGCAGAAAGGAAAGGAGTCAGTCCGAGTCCAATCCGTAGCGTGAAGGGGACGATAAGTAGCTGAAGAATAGAGTACGAGTTGCCCCAGTGAAGGAGGGAGGGCAGGGCGAAGAATAAGAAAATAAGTAAGAAATAGTAGGAAGATGAATAGTGTACTCCAATAGATCCCAAATCCCAATAATCAAGCAAAAAGCGAGTGTGAAGAGTGAGCGAAGCGAGCGGGGGTCCGAGGCGCGGTGGGTGGTAGGTAGATGACAACAACGGCAACAGTTCCAAAAGGACAGTGATCGAAAGGAACGGCGGGCGTAGCGAGAAGGAGGGCGGGCGTAGCGAGGAGAAGGATAGCGGCGTAAGAGGGAAGGGAATGGGAAGGAGGAGGAAAGAATTAAGCCAATTAATGTACGCAAAAACCGAAAAAAAAGCAAAAGCAAAGAAAGAAAGGACCAAGAAAGCAAAAAGCGTTCGCCGGCGGGGCGTGTTTTGGGCGGGTGGACTGATATAGCATAGCGTATAAGATTCTGCGCGCGCCCATCAGCTTGCTTCGTTCGGCGATAAGAGGGGAGAGAGGGACGTACACATCGTCATCGTCGTCAAGCGCATGAACGGGGCCGCGCACTCAGGCGTACACCCCCGCGCCGTACTGTGCCCCGTGCACCCCGTTCCCCCGCTGCCCGTACTCGCCCTGGTGCTGGAGGGCCGCGTAGTACTGCGCGTTGCTCATCTCGCCCTCGCCCGCCTGCGCGCCGGCCCAGTACGCCTGCTGCGCGTGGTGCTGGGGGTGCGAGTGGGAGGACGGGTGCGAGGAGGCGTAGTACGGCGGGCTCTGCGGCGGGCTCGGGAGGTACTCCCCCCCTTGTCTCGGCCGTTGTTGTTGCTGCTGCGCCTCCGCGCCGGACTGCCCCCAGAACGTGGGACTGCACGGCGGGCTGCTCCCCGCGGACTGCGAATGTGCCGACGAGCTCAGCGAGGAGAGCGAGCTGAGCGAGGACGAGGACGGATAGGACGACAGCTGGTGCTGCTGCTGCCCATGCGGGTGCGAGAGGCCCGAGAACGACGCCGGCGCGGGCGCTTGCAGCGCCGCGTAGAACGCCTCCGCCTCCTCCGCGCCGTGCCCGCCCCCCATCGTGCTCCCGCTCCCGACCTCGATCTCCTCCTGCTTGATGTACACCTCCCCCGCGCTCAGGTAGTCGAAGGCGGCGGACGACGCAGAGGTGGACGCGGGCGAGCCCATCGGCGAGCCGAACTGGTACGCGGCGTGGTGCGGCGGGAAGGACGGCGACGGTACGGCGCGGCGTACTGCTGCGCGAACGACGCGGTGGTAGGCGAGCCCGGGTGCGAGCCCCCGCCGTACTGCGATGAGGGGTGGGAGGGGTAGCCGGCGGAGGAGGAGGAGGAGCAGTTGGGGGACGACGAGATGGACGAGGGCGGGGAGAAGCGCCGCCGGCCGCGGACGCCGGCCATCATGCTTGCGTTGACGCCTGCGAGGGCGCGCATCATGCGCTCGTTGAGCGGCTTGTCTTCGGGCGCGGAGTGCACGGTCTGTGGGAGAGGGTCAGCGTCGGGTTTAGCAGATAAGAGAGGGAGATGAGGGAGGGTGAGGGAGGATGGCAGCGAGGGAGGATGGGGGTGAGGGAGGAGCAGAGGAGGGGAGAGCGTCGGGGAAGGAAGGAAGGGCGGCGGGATGATGGAGACGCAGGATGGCGGGGCCAGGTCCGAAGGAGAGAAGGAGGGGGGAAGGACGACCCCGCCGGCCGCGCCAAGACGAGGGACGACGACAGCGGCGGCGGAGGAACCGGAGATAGCGGCACCTCGGCCGACCATATGCCGACGGGGAAAACAGCGAAAAACGAGCGAATAGCAAAACACGATCGGGGAACGGGTCCGCCTCGATCGCGAAAGCGGAAGGGGAGAGACAGAAGAGGAAGCAGACCCTCACCTGCGCATGCTGCCTTAAGTTGTCAAGGCGCGAGAACTGCTTGGTGCAGTGGCACGCGAAGGGGCGCTCGCCGGTGTGTTTCCTAAAGCGCAAATCAATGTATGTCAGTAAAGGCGCTTCGACGAGGACGGAAGGAAGACGGAAGGAAGAGGGCAGGATGGGCAGTAGGCGTGATGGGCAGCAGGCTGGAATGG